CAGCGATTTCTGATTTGTTTTTCCTCTTTTAGAGGTTCGCCATTTTGTGCCATGATTGGGCAGCTTACTTTCTCAGTTAGACCGTATACTTCTTTTACAGCCTCGAAGAATTTACGATAATCGTAATGCGTGGCGTACTCTTGAATCTGATTCGCTTTTTGTGACCACCAGTTATCCTTTACTTGGCGCAGTTCTCTTCGAAGCGTGTTGTTGGCTGCTTTAAAGTTATCTACCAGTCTTGGATTATGTGGATTTGCAGTGACTGCTTGATGTGCTCTATGCTTTTGTTCCAACAAAGCCTGTATATGCGGTTGATTTTCGTTAAATCAGTCTGGTTCTTTCTTTTTGTTCGACTTTCCCAGTACTGCTTCGCTGGTTTTATGAATCGCATCCCTTAATTGTGTTCAGCCTTGTACAGCTTCCAATATTGAGATTGAAGTTATCGGTGGAAGTGATTCTTTGATGGCTTCCCGGAGGGCGTCGGCGGTATTGTTGTTCTCTAGACCCCGTACGTTCAATCTGGTCATGTTGTTTTGCTTTTTACAGCGTGGATGTTTGGGTTTTAACTGGATTTTCATTTTTGAAATTAAAAGTCGGTGGTCAGTGCCACATTCGGCATCTATTCTAACTTTTGTGAGCCTAACATCTTTTAGATGCGTCCTTCGAACGATTATGTGGTCCAATTGATGCCAGTGGCCTGATCGAGGATGTTTCCAGGTACCTTTAAACTTATCCTTCAACATAAACCACGTATTGGTGATGCAAAGATTATACTCTGCGCATGTTGTTAATAAGCGTTCACCATTGCTATTTGCGTTTCCCATTCCCTGTTTTCCCAATACGTCTGGCCATATTTCCTGTTGTTTACCAACACGGGCATTAAAGTCACCTGATTACAATGATGAACAATGACAATTAAACCATATGCGAAAATGTCAAAAGTTGACATATAATATGTCATTCTATTCAGAGTGTCATTTTCTATCGAATAAAGTAGAAATATACCGAGGGTGCCATTTAAAAATTAAAAGTTATAGTCATTTCCGGTGAAACAGAAAGTGACCAAAAACAATTGAATGCGTCAATCAATCCTAATTTATGTCATATACTAACATACTAAATCTTATGGGGATGAGCCACTTTTCGAACGCACCCGGTATAATAAAGACAGTACCGAGTTAAATAAATGTAGTTTTCATTTTATCCACTTCCTATCACCTTCCTTGCTTTAATGGAACATATTTAACATATTTATGTTTTCTCTAATTTACATAATAAGATATCACTGAACCAGTAAAATAATTACAACAATCATATCTTTTTTTTTCTCTCCATGTCGCCGATTCTATTATATCTGTAGAATAGATCCTGTTTTGATTAATATTAGGGGTTGTAAATGTTTGACTAAAATTAATAATTTATTATTAATTTCCAAAATTACGTAATTTCGATTATAAAATTTCTTTTATAACATGTATTTTATTATTTTTATCCTTTTTGGACTCTAAGACGTTTTTTCTAAACTTTTATTCAAAAAAACCTCTCCTAAATCTTAATAAAATAAAAAAAATACTCGGCTATGGTACGGAGAGCTCAGGTGTACTTGAGAAACGAAAGACAGTGTTGCGTTTCTCGTCAGCGTCGTCAGGGAACGACCGTTACGACAGAGACACAGGGCCTATTTTTCATCTGGTCAGGCCCTAAGGCCCAAGCAAAAATTCGGGCCCTCTTATCGAATAAAATTCAAAAATTCTCTTGTTAGTTTGAGTTAAAAAAATAAAATAATTATTTTTATTTTTTTAAAATTAATAATTTTAAAAAATGCATTAATTATATCAATCTAAAGCTTATTTTATTTAATTCTATTTTCCTCATCAGAGGTAACTGTTTTTTTCTCTGCTATCTAAATTTACATTTGAAATTATGAATATTTTACAACCTTCAACGGGCCCACCAGACCACCGGGCCCAAGGCCCGGGCCTTATGGGCCTTATGGTAAAATAGGCCCTGCAGAGACAACCTATTTATCGCTCGTGTCGCACTCGTTATAACCTAAAACAATAACACAACAATAACAAGACATTGTCTGACTGCATGTTCCAGCTATTTATGAATGAGATGCTCAGTCTATATTTTATTTTAAGTCTATGGGTCGTGTAGACCTTCGTAGGAGGTAGATGTCCATTCTTCGGAGGACGAACAGTTGTTGTCAGAGGAGGATGGAAAATAGCCTGTCCTTTCAAGTATGATGAATTATAGACTGTATGATGAGTTATACCTCTCAAAAAAGAGGAACAAAATAGATCTTTAAGGCCGCAGTGATCAACCCCTCTCCACTCATTCTACAGTCTACAAATACCTATTATTTCTAACATATTTTTTACGTAAAAGAGATATCCAAATCCAATATAAATCGGCGTCAAGTTACCATAGAAATGACGTTCGATGACATTCACCCAACAATGCCCAACAATTTCCATATAATTTTAAGTCTAGTTTTTATGAATCCCAATTTCTTACGTTTTTTTGCGAAAAAAGATTACCTAGATTTTAAAAGTTTGCATGTTCTTGCATCTTGCACATTTGGATATAATGTTTTCTTTCATCCAAATATTATTCTAAGAACGATTTTTTCTCTTCATTTTATTTATAATTTAAGCGATAGGTACCTCGCAAATAAAAAATGTCTAATATTAGAATGGCTGAAATCCATGCTTTTTACATAGGTACGTTTATCGCTTGTCATTTCTAAAGTAACCTGACGCCTTTTTTTTTATTATACGGTATCAAAATAAACATGGTATAAAATAACAAAATAATATTTCTGTAAAGAAGAAATTTAGAAAAAAATATCACAGGTACTACATAGGATTCTCTTTAAAAGAGAAAAAACTTTTTTATTATGGACATTTAGGAAAAAATGCATTCTTCATAAAAAGTTTTGCTTGTTCTAAAATGGTTAATCCAGTTTATACTTTTCTAAATTTCCATACCGTCTTAGATAAACTAAAAAGAAAACATGAAATTATGGTTGAATTTTTTATTAATAGAATTTTACCTACCATCAAATTTTTTGCTCTTTTAAAATGTTAAAGAAGCACAAAATTTATTTAGTTCAATGCCACGGAAAGGGTGATATAGTAATCGGAAAATTGATACCTTAATAACAGCAAGAATAAAGAATAAAATCTAAATTATAATTTAATTATAATTATTTTCTTTAAAACGATATGGAAATTTGGCAAAGTATAAACGAGATTAACCAATTTAGAACAAGCAAATTTGTTTTTCAAAATATCAATAATAAAAAAGTTTTTCCTCTTGTAAAGACATTCCGGGGACGTAATGTATCATATAAACCTCTGCTGATTGACTTAGGAATCAACGCAGAACCGCTGAACCGCTGAAACCGCTGAACCTAGAAGCATAAAATTTGGCACAAAGTAGGGTGTAGGGTCCTTGAGTAATGTAGTAGGTAAGTGGGCACTAACAAGGAATTTTCGAAAACTCACCCTAAGAAGGAAATTAGGGATGAAAGATTGCATAAAATGTCTTAAAATGTATTCTAGGAGTATAAAATGTTGCACAGAAGCTTTTTGGGTGACGTAAGTGATCATACTAAGGAGCGATTTTCGGCCAAGGAGTGGAAATTTGCCCTTTTAGGAGGGGGTGAGATGAGGGTGAGATGGAGGTGAGATGAGAGTGAGATGACGTTGGAATATTGTATAAAAAAATTGGCGCCAGGAGGCACATATAGCCGCCCATACTAAAATCTGTTAATATCTCGAAAACTGCGACTTTGACTGATTTTGATGTCATTACAAATTTTGTTGCAAATATTATTCCTAATCTTAATTTGAAAACTGCGTTTCGCTAGCTACTGTAATTTTGGAGTTACGATTTTTTAAAATTTTAACCCCCTCCCATACCCCCTTACCAACCCCCCACCCCCACCAAAAACTAATGGCCAGATTCTCGGGTGCCACAGTATTTTTGTGCCAAATTTGGTTAAAATCGGTACAGCGGTTTTTGAGTTATCGTGTTACAGACGGACAGACGGACAGACAGGTAGACAGACAGACAGACACCATGAAAATATTTTGTATTTAGGTCATTTATGACCCAAATAACTCATTTTGAGTGAAATTAAAAATACTTTTTTTCTGCCGATCATAATAGCCTACCATACCTATTGGTATGGTCGGCTAAAAATGAAATGTTAACGTTAAACATCATTTTTTAATGGAACACCTTGTATATAATATACAACAAAATATTTTGAGAATACCTTTATAAACTATGCATGATTCGCATCTTTTTTTGTTTATACCTTCGCCAATAACAACGATATTTGACCTCCTAGCTCACGCTAATGGGTTACCCTGATAAACTAATTTAGCCTAATTATCTTCAAAACCTGTGCCAAATGATGCGTCCTACGTTGGTTCCAACGTTGAAACCATTCCAACGTTGGAGACATCGTGTACGACCGGCTTAATACGATAGGAAAAAATCGGCGTCAAAGACAGCTGGGAAATGACAATCGATGATAATTTTGGCGAGGTTAAGCATTTACTTAGCTTAGTTTTTAATAGTGCTTACTGCCTTAAGTTCGCTTTAAGATGGTTATAATTTATTTTTATATCGAGTGAAAATGATTTTTATGGTGGGTCGAGAACAAATATATTTTTTGGTGTGTCTGGAAGCGTTCTATTCTTTTTCGATCATTCTATAATCAGTCAATTTTTAGTAAACGATTTCTAGAGGTTGACCTCGCCAAAATTATTATCGATTTTCATCCTACGGATGTCTTTAACGTCGATCATTCGAATAAATATAAATATATTGCATTCTTTACCTAGATCATATGAAATCTCTTTTCTAATATCTAATTGTTCTCGTTTAAATGTCGGTAAATTATAATTGATACTATTCAAGGTCAGGAATAAGCAGAAACTTAATATTAAATCATTCTTTACGTCCCAGAAACAACTTGAAAGTAGATTTTTTCAATTATTTCGTGAGGGCTGGCAGTAAACTGCCCCCACCTTCACACTTGCATAATAAATATAAAACTACTTATCATAGAAAACCATGCTTTTTTAGATTAAATACAAAGAGAAGATAGATTGATCGTCAAAAATGTTACTTCTTGTATATCTCTTGATTTCTATTGCTGTATCAACAGCAATAACATCATTTGATAAAGTTTTAAATGTCATTAACGAAGACAACTTTTTGGAAATGTATGTGCCCACATATAATTCTAGGAATGGACAGTGCAGAAACCATAGTTTGTATTATGTGGAGGAACTAAGAAAACTTGCTATATGGGCTACTGAAAGTAAGTTTAATATTAGAATATTTATGTACAGTTGTACAAATATAGGAAGAGACTTAGGGATAGCAACGGTCGCCGTGTTATTTTATATTTCTCACGTCTCTAGCTATACTTGTTAAATTGTACTTACAAATATTAGTACTTTCTAAATATGATTTTAGTGTTCGATGCTTCTGGAAAAATGCCTAGCGGTGTTCTATACGGCTCTTCGCATAATTTAGGAAATTATGATGAGTGTCTCGCTATTAGAGTTCTGTATAATGAGCATGAGAAATTTTCTGGCCAATATTGCTTAGCAAAACTAACTATCACACCGCCTAATAATATAAACATAAAGCATCAAAGTAGCTTTTACTTGCCTGATAATTACATTACATTTTTCAATCAATCTTTATGGGAGAAAATGACGGTAAGTTTTTAAATAATTATACTTTTATACATAATTCAGATTTTTTTCAAGAATTAAGTATTCTATAACATAGATGAAAGATATGGTTTTTAAGTAGTTTAAAATTCAAGAAAAAATATTTTTTGGAAATAGATTTGTGTGTCTGGAAACGTGCTATCGTTTTTTAATTTTTCTATAATTAGTGTTAACATTAACAAGTTTTATGTCAATATTTAGTAAATGACGTCTAGAGATTGCCAAAATTATCATCAATAATTTTCATTTCTCGGCCGTCTTTGACGCTGTTTTTGTTCGATCATACGGTACAAAGTCAATATTTTTTTTTATTTTTTATTATCTTTTTATTTGGTTCTTTATTATGCTATTTTAATTTTTACAGGGTGAGTCTTCAATATAAATGCAAATATTTTTGGAGGTAGTATATTTCGACCCCAAAAACACGGTTATTAGGTGTTTTCGAGAGAAAAAAATAAAAATTTTGAATTTTTTGAAAAAACATTTAGTTAAAAAACATAATTTCTTGATTATATGGCAACATTATTAAATTCACAAGCAAGAAAGAAAACAGGGGTTCTCAAAATTTAAGCGAAAATTTTTTAAAAGTGAAATTATTGAAGTAAAATAACTCGGTTATTTTGGACTTATTTGAAAAACGGTAAAGAGAAAAGATGTTTCTTTTATCGAGATCTACTAGCCCTGAAAATATTTGCAGTTATTTAACACTCACCCTATATGTTTTTTTAGTAAGAAATCAGAAAGTTTAATTTAAATTTGTACAGTTTTCATCTAATCCTACTTTAAAATTTCGGCCATTATTTGGATAATAATATAAATATCTCAAACATGCATATAATACAGAGTGGGTCTTAAAGTGCAAATATTTTTAGGGGTAGTATATTTCGACCCCAGAAACACGCCTATGAGGTATTTTCACGATTTTTTTTGAAAGTTGGTATTTTTATAATTAGTTTAATTAGGTAAATATTAGTTTTTATTTAAAAAACATAATTTCTTGATAATGTGACAACGTATGTAGTAGATTAAATTACAAGAAAGAAAATCCAGAAAAGATCCAGTGGTAAAAGTTTAAACAAAAAATATATATTTTTTTTAAATTTCGAAGTAAAATAATTCGTTTATTTTGGACTTATTTTAAAAACGTTAAAGAGAAAATTTGTTTCTTTTATCGAGATCTACCATCTACCAGCCCTGAAAATATTTGCACTTACTATAACTCTCATACATATGTGTAAAAACTAACCCATAGAATGAACATTTTAAAGAAAGTTAACATAGACTTAAAAAATATTTATGAATTTGAAAAAAAGATGTTTTTTAAATTTTTTTATTCAATAATTTGGAAATTAATTAATTTTCAGATTTTGTAAATATACTTCAATAAAGTTTTTTCATTTATGAACATGTCAATTGTTTATTACGTTCACTTTTATATTATGATGGTATTTAAGAAAATTTTATAAAGCTAACATTCTAATCCCTAGATTTATTAATGTTTAATATTTTTTCTTTTGGCAATTATTACAGAAACCCTCTTTTATTTTTCTGAGATCTATCAATTTGCTATTGTAAAAAAATAAATTTACTTGCCATATTTATTCAAAGTACATTATACAAAAGTATATAATAAAAATGAGTTTAAAATATTGTATTGGAATTACACAGTATGATCGAAAAAAATGACAAAAATGCTATTAAAAACGGCTGGGGAACGACAATCGATCATAATTTTGACCAGGTCAATCTCTAGACGTCATTTACTAAAAATTATTCATAAAATTTGTCAAAAATTAAGACTAATTATATTCTATTTACAAAAAACTCTCGAATTTTCGTTTTTTTTCTCGAATTTTAAACTACTCGTGTACACTATTTAAAAATTATTTTTGCTCAATATAAACAATCAAATATAACAACTCATTTATTACTTTGAATAAGCAATATTGATCTATTTCAACACCTTTTTTTATTCAAATCACATGTTTCACTTTTGTAGTATAAAAATATACATACAAGATGCAATAATCTTGAGCAATGTTGAATTGATATTGCTATATCATGTGCAGCTTAATTAGTTTCATGCGCATTTGTATAAATACACCTACTTACTGGATATTAAAGACATGTAATAATTTATGTTGTACTAATAACTAATAATACACATAAATTCTATTAGCGAATCAGATTCCCCCCCTTAAAACGACCAATAAATTAATAAGTGCTACTATACCGCCTGTCTCTCCGAGTTAGTTCAAGTGACAGAAGAAAAAAGTTTATTTATTAGAAGTCTGAATATTAAGACAGTATAATTTCATCACTTCCTGGTGTAATTCATCAAAGCTGTTTAGATCGTAGATTTGTAGATTATATAAAAAGGGGGAAGTTAATCACCGCGGACTTTCCCAAGCAGCATTTGGACGTCGGGACAACGTTGTGTCACGCGGCCAAACGTCGGGGCCCAACGTCGGCACAACCTCGTGCCAACCCTAGTCTGCACTAGTTTGGAGAATAATTTTTGGGTCGAAACGATGTTGGATACCGACGTTGGCTAGCAGCCTAATTTAGTACAAACTGCAACGTTGTTTAAAATCCTAATTCACAGAAATACAAAACTATAATAATATGACGTCTAAGTCGCGTTTTATCCTAAATTGGTATAATTATAGTAAAAATATTATTTTTATGATTTAGTTAGAGACATATGCCAGATGGCAGTAGAGGAAAACAAAACAAAAGTATTTAAGTGTGGAGGATGTTTGAAGATCATAATTACTGAAACACTTTAACCGACTCTGTAACTCGTTACCCAAGACAAAAAAGTTAAACGCAAACAACTTTATTGATAAATGTATTGTTTCTACTTTGAAAAATACTAATGGACCTTAAAATTAAAGAAGTTTTAAAAAATTAGTAAAATGAGAATAATTTATTCGCAGTCGAAAAAAATGTTTCCGCGTATTGCTTAGGGTTAAATATTTCAAGTTAATGTATTCAAAAAGCAGGAATTGCTATAATAGGAACGAAACATTTTCTTATTCAACAACATGGCGGCTTTCACTTTGTTGTTCTGAAGATTAAGATGGTGTAGTTCGAGTAGTCGCATACTGGACTAATAAAGTCGCAGTTCAGCCTTAACAGGTAGTATACTATACTAGTCGCAAGATTGCCTAATTTATCATAGAGTCTAGCTTGTGCCGCCCTCTATATTCTAAATAAACGAGGGAGTGGATAAAGTATCGGTAATTTGTCGATGTATATTTAAATTTAGTTTTATATGTACCTTTCTTACGTCCCATTTTAATTAATTTTTTTTATAAAAACAAAAACAGCACTGAATTGTCTGCTGAACAGAACAATGAAGTGACAATTTAAGATTTAAGGTTATGGTTCAATACAGTTGCAAAAAAGTGGCTCGACATCCTACCAACGTAAGAATAAGGAAATTTAAACAACGTTGGAATTAGTAAAACAGACGACGTTTGCATAACGTTGGAATATGTTCTGAAAGTGACGTCGGAAAACTCTTTATTGCCCAACATTGTAACTACGTTGTCCCTTTCAGGTTCATGAGTTCTGCTTTAAGTTGGTTTCCACTTGGTAATCAGAATGGCTGTGGTTCAATTATTAGTGGAATACTTTCTAGCTAGATAGTTGGCTTTTTCATTACCTTCTATCCTTTGGTTCACTAAGCGTTCGTTGACCAACTTCGAATTGATGGTCACTGAGCTGATCACTCTTAAGGCTGCTTGACTATAGGATAAGATGGTTATTTCTTGTTTCCGATAGTTCCCCATCTAAGATAAATTGTACGTATTTTTGATAGCGTAGATCTCTCTGCCTGAAGGATGCTGGGGTTTAGTTTGGTTTGGTTGGGGTAGATAGATGCCCATTGGTTCAGAGCGCGGTTCGGAGTGTCCAGTATTTAGCCCAAATACTCCTATTCCTGTTTCGGCTTTGGTTTTGAAAACATCAGTGTACTACATTATGTAATGGTCTTTTAGCTACTAAACAAACGTTTCTCTCGTTCAATTCTGTTTGTTACTCAATAATACAATGAGGTATTTCTCAAAGTTGTATATTCTTGGTATGTCATCTTCTGGGAGTTAGAGGAGTGGACTTTTCCTTTTGAAGGTGTTCAAAGTTTCTGACAATTCTACCAGTATTGTTTCCGACACTGACCATTCTAATCATTGGCATGTCCACCAATGGCACTTTGCAGTGGTGCTAGGTCTAGAATACCTCCATTGCTGCTATTGCTGCAGGTTTTCATCGCTGCTTTGATGAAAATGATGACATATATATTTTATATATTTATATCTAATATACATATTTATTAAATTATTTTAATAGTTTAGATAAAATTAAGAGCCTGTAATGCTTAAAAGAGATATTATTTATTAAAACACATGAGTGCTAAAACATGTTCTATTAATTACCTGTCGATTTGCGTAGTTTCAAAGGCTTAAACTTAAAGTTTAATGTAATATATAAAAATCGCAATAATATACCTATATGGGGTGCGTCTGAAAGTTGCTCACCTCTAAGTATAACTTTTTATTTTTTTAGATAAAACAACGAGATTTGGTACGTTAGTATATGAAGTAAATTAGGATTGATTGACGTATTCAATTGTTTTCGGTTATTTCCTGTTTCACCAGAAATTACTAAAACTTTTGTTTTTTAAATGGCACCCTTGGCATTTTTTACTTTATTCGATAGAAAATAACACACTTTTTGACATTTTTGCATATTATATGGTTTTTTTGAAATTGTAACATGCGGTTGATAACGACAATTTGACTCAAAATACTAAGTGTGGGGTACCAAATTATTCGTAAAAAAAATGCTTTTTCCAAATATGCTATCGACCCACCGTCGTTCTATTTGAGGAAATTGAGATATGATTAAAAATACTATTTGGGCTTGTTTTAACCGGCCAGGACAAGGCACTATAAACATTAGGCGGTCAAATTTATTTTCCC